AGCTCTCAGTGGTCTTCTCCTTATAGGCGTTGTAATCGGGAAACACATTCTCCCACTGGAGCTCATTGTCCAGGAAATCGGCTTTTGGTTTGTATAGACATACCGTATAGACACCACCTTTGGGTCCGTTCACATTCTGCACCTGAGCGCAGGCAACCGTTTTGGTTGACCCCCAAACCAGTTGCACGAAGTGGCGAATCGTGCCATTGTTTGATTGCCGATAATCCCAGTCATAGTTATTGATCTCTCGATACCACTTACCGATCGAGTCGTTACAATTGATTGACGGCAAGCCATTCAAGTGCTCGGATGACGTCCAGTGGATGTTCTCTCCGAACTCCCAATCCTTATGCCGAAAGAATCGGAACCCCTTTTGTGCCATTTCTAAGGCTCTCTTCTGCGCCGCTTGGAATATCTGTGGCGATAATCATATGATATGATTGAATATAACTTTACGAATAGAAAGGTAACAAAAAGTATATAAATATTTTACGCCATCGTTGATCATCAATCGGTCGACTGAATGTATTTTCCTGATTCTGTTGTGCTCTTTGATGCACTCCTGAACCCACTCTCCATTCGTAAGCTCTTTGTATTTAAGTTTACGAGTGCTTAGAATTTGGTCACATTTCTTGACAGATCTGACATTATCCTCGATGTCCGATATGTTTCGCCCGATTGNATTATCCTCGATGTCCGATATGTTTCGCCCGATTGGCACCACATTATGATAGGCGCACACAATGGACACGAATCGGATGTGTGGACTATAGACAGTCGCGCAGCCAATCCTTTGGGTTGAGTTCCAAACCAGTTGTACAAAATGTCTCGACGAAGGCCTCACTTTTGTTTGTTGTTTCCAATTGTAATTGATTTTCACTTTATACCACATTTGGACGACTTGTTTGCAGTCAATCGGAGTCGAGTTATCGTATTTCATGATAAATGTATTCTCACCGATGGCTGAGTTCTTGAATGAAGCGGCTTTAGTGCCCACATTGGATAGCAATAGAGTCGCTCTTTTAAGGGCAAACAATTTGAGCTGATTTTCAAGAGATAATATAAAATAAAACAATTGTAATATTGAATGTTATTTAAAACTTATGCTTACTTTTGGACTGTATTTGAGAGGCGAAGAGCAGTGCTTTTCCCGATAATAGTTGTGAGTTTGGAGGCAATCCAATTGAAAGACATCAGTTGTCACATCTTTGCCGTCAAACTGTGGTTTCAATAAATAACAATTAACAGAAACTGCGAAAATTAGCTGCAAATATAAAATATAACGCATTTTAAAACTATTTTTATTAAATTAGATATTAATCGGACACTAATCAGAGGTGTATTAAACAAAAAGGTAATATTAGATATAATTTATAAGAGAAGACTACAAAACTTAAAAATTGTGACGAATTAAAAATCAAAGAAATCTAATTCATATTCTCATCTTATAATACAAGTGTATTAATATTAATTTGATATAAAGTATGTAATTTTATAATGTAATTTTGTCAATAATTTTTATACACTTGTATTGTAAGATAAGTTATTTTTACAAAATTATTATTTAATTAACAAATTACAGTAATTGATCATATTTTTATAGTAATATTCAAATCAATTAGCAATCACTATATTAACGACTAAATAATTTATACATTATTTTGAGTGCATATACATAACAAGCGTAGGTATGAATAATTATTTGTATAAATTATTTAATAAATAGCGAGAAACACGAAAACCCTATTCTTATCTATTTGTATACAATAGTGAATTCATCCCAACAAATAAATATTGAATCTTTCAATGATTTTGAGTGTAGTTTTGTATATTAAAAATATACATTAAGACAAAGAATCTAGTGCAATTTGAATAGTTTTATTTGGCAAATAAAATAATTGTATATTATTGTCAATAAATAAAACTAACTTTTAAATAACTTATTTATATTATATGTAAATAAAAGTCACAATTCCTTAAATCATAAGGTATTGTGACATTTGAAATACAAAAATGCTTGTGATTTGAATTGCTTTGTATTTAAAGGTCATTCTTATATGCCGTATAAAACACAACATAATTGCAAATATAATTAGTAATTATTGTTGGAAAAAATATTTGATATGTGTTTCCCTGTATTCCACTCCTAACTCACTAACTGTGAGCCAAAGGTTTAGATTGTGTTATACAATATGTTATTAGATTTAAGCGAATTATTACAACTCTAAACCATACAGTTTTCTCTTACTATAACATAAAACTTATGGATCGATGAATTCATTGCTAATACTATTAACATTATTAATGATTTAATACAAATGTATTGACTATTATATCAATCATTCACTTCAAAAGCAAAAATTAAAAATATTAAATATATACACAAGAAATGTACAAAATATACAAGAATTTTATTACAACCAAGAATTAAATGTTTTATATGGAAATGTCACATTAAACAAGGAAATAATTGTAAAACTAAATTATATATCATATGATGTGTTGGAAAGGGTAGAAAAATGTTTGACATTAACGACACCGACGCCGACACCACAAGAAGTCCACCAAAAATGCTGTATTCATACTATTCTTTAGTATTCTGTGTTTAATTGCATGGCTTTATATGTGGTGTACGAGAAGTGTATGCGCGCTATGTTTTCGTTGAATATACTGTATATTGAATACAATCTCAAAGTTGGATACAATAAATGCACACATTGTTTGAATTTTAATAAATGCAATGTTTTGTGTACTGAAAAGATTTATAAAAACCATAACTAAAGCAGAATTGGTCTAAGTTTTGTGTGCCTTTCGTTCAAATGAACGTTTAAATTGTACTTCAAATATAGCGATAGTTTAAAAGTTTAAATTTTTAATTCATTTTGACTGAAACTATTCAATGAATATAAGTTTCAAAATATTTTACTATAAAATACATATTGAGTTGTTTTGTGAATTCAAGTGAAGTTTAACATCTGATATGAATCTTCTTCTACTTCTCCATCACTTGCCGTATAAATAAATAATATAATGAAACACAAGTTTGAGGAATGAAATAATCGCGTCCATACATAATGATCAAACTGACCAAAGATGCTGCCACATCACCAACTGTTCCCATCATAAGTCAGCAATACTACTGTACGGTCACGTGTTGTAATGGAGACAACTGTAAGCCCTCCACAATTCTTAAAGGGGTAAAGAATCCATATTATTGTCCCAATCGAGAGCTCTTGGGATCAAATGGAGTGACAAAGAGTTGCAGTTATTCGGGCACAACCACTCCATACACGCCGACTGTTTCGCCACAATGTCTAGCAGTGGATAACTTCTACATCAGTGGTCACGGATGCTTCCGAAGAGCTGTTCCCACAATGCCTTTAGTTATTGCGCTATTCCTATCACTACTTAATTTAATACTTCCCGGTTCTGGTCAGTCAACCATTTATTTATATGTATTTTTATCAATTGTTCACTAATAGAATATTGATTATAATATAAATGTTTAATTATTTAAATTAAATGTTAAAATTAGTTACAAAAATCAATACTTTTGTTGTGATTCTGTGTGTTTTGAATCAAAGGACTTTTAATTTGAAAACTTTTATTGAGTCTAGAATTTATTGGTCTATAAATAGTGTCGAAAGCTATAAGTGTTTTGTTTAATACAAACAAAAGTTTCAATAAGTTTTCTAACGACAGACCATTTAATAAGTATTTCAATTCATTTGATGTTTTGATTGGTAATTTTATTACAAAGTTTATTATCAAGGATTTTAACTATTATTTCTTAATTCCTTATGAATACCATAGACTGTGCGGAACTTTAATCGATTTCATTTCCAGCCCATTATTAACACTCTTTTCTCTGTTTATAAGTTTTTGTGAATAGCTTTGCATTCAATACTAGAAAATCGATAAACATTTTCAGGTATTGAAACATCAAAAAAGAGAGAAAAATTTCTATTTTTGTTTCCCTTTTCGAAGACTTAATTACAATAATTTTGTTATTATCGACAAAACGCGACAATTATTTTACAGAAATAACACATAAACTATTCATTTTATTCAAAACGCAATGTCCTATAAATTTTTCGTACATTTTTAATAAATTAAAAAGTGAAATAAATTACAGTAAATTAAAACGAGAGAGAGAGAGAGAGAGAGAGTCACCATATAGAAATTGTTGTTTACTATTCAATCATTAACCTTTTCCCTTTTTTAAGCATTGATGTGTGATATTAAATATCATTTTGTAAACCCATATATTATATAAGACTTAACGTACGGATGAAAAACACGAATAAAATATTATGTTTTCAATTAATTTCGCGAAACGCAAAGTGTTGTCGAAAATGGCTATGAATTGTGCGAAATAACAGTCGACTCTCTCGAGTGATCAAAACATTTTTCGTGTCATTAAAAAGAAAAAACATTTTCATACTTTCGTTATGTAAGACTTGTTGCAAAGTCTCTCTCTCTCTCTCTCTCTCTCTCTCTCTCTCATGAAATGTCATAAAATAACAATACATTTTCAAAGTCAGTGAATAGGAAATTGAAAATTTAAATAAGCGATTAAAATATGGACACATTTCTTGAAACATAGAAATCAATTCAATGTAAATGAATAGAAATTTAAAAATAATTTACATTTCAAATATAAAATGCAAAAAATTTCTATAAAAACTAAAATAATGCAATAAATTATTGGCAAAAACTCCAGTTTAATCGATACTTTAATCGCCGGAATTACAAAAAATTAATTATAAATAAAAATAATTAAAAGTAAAACAAAACTGAACTAATATTATACATATCGATACTATAGTGAAAACATATCTCTTTCGGTACCAATTACTACAAAATACAAATTCGCAGAATATTATCATAATTCTTGGGAAACAGATGTTTTTAATCAAGAATTATAATGACATTAAAAATACATTTAATATGTATTTTCTATACACGTGTTTAGAAATTTCAATTAAACTTATAGTTATAGAAATCAAAAACACTATAGAAAACATAGGAATAAAGATTGGGATAGAGTGGACATACAATTACTATAGTTTTTATATAATATACTGCAAATGATTAATGCATTTTCGATAGGATTATATACAGAGTTGTATATAATATATGATTATTTACTATCGGATGTAAGACACCTGCGCCTCACAGCCGCCGCTATCACCACCACCGGCCACCACATCCATACCAATGATCTCTCTCTCTCTCTCTCAAGAGTTTGTACTTTAAGATCATATACCGAATGAATGAATCAATTGAATTGCAAAGAGAAATCCGGTCTTAAAAAATAATATCTCTTTTCTATTCAAAGCTATAATAAAAATAATATACTTTACGATAAATAAATGAAAAATATAAAAAAGAAATATAAAAATCAAATTATTATTTTCCTATTATAGTGTGTATAAATATGTATTTCAATTCTCTCTCTCTCTCTCTCTCTCTCTCATACAATTTAGAGAAATAAAAATTTAAATAACATTTTCAAAGCCCTTTCGTTATAGTCATCCAAAAAGTTAATTGATTTGATTTTAATCTCGAGAAAACTGAACACAAGGTATGAAGTATTTGAGTGACGGAAACAAAACAAAACAAAACAAATATAAATTTCAATCCATTCTCATTAACATTACATTTGGAAACATATATAAAACAAATATTAAATGTATCACAAAAAATAGCAACAATGGTATACATAATCATATGTAAGGCTAAACGTCGGGTTTATATAAATTGAAATTTAAAAATACAAACAAATATATTTCACTGCCTTTTTGTTTCACCGGATTTTTGCTTCTTTGAAATTAATGTTTAATACGTTTTTCTCAAAGGAGTGAAAGAAATGTTTATTTTATTGAATACTAAAACAACGCTAAGAATTAAATGTCAAAACGAGTTGAGAAAAGATATTTTGCTCTCTCTTAAGACCATAATTACATATGAATTACACGATATTCTCGGATCAGATATAATATTTAGATAAGAGAGAGAGAGAGAGAGAGAGAGAGAGAGAGAGCATAAAGAAAGAGAGGGAAAGGAGTGAACGAATAGTCTTTTTTGATGAGAAAGAAAAATATATTTATATAAATGTTTCGAATAATAAATGTTTAGAAGAAAAAAATGTTTAATGCATTTCAAAAGATTAATATCTGGACTTATATCTAATCCATTGGCCGCTCGGCTATCAGGAGGGAGAGGAGAAGTTCCCGAAGAACGCCGCCGGAGAGGTTCTGGTCAGTGATGTTGACTTCGTTGAGACATATCTGGGTTTAGAGGATTTGCTCAAAACATCGAAAGTCAAGTCAATCGGTGTCTCAAACTTTAATTCACAACAAATCGATCGCATTCTTAAGGAGGCGACTGTCAAACCGGTGGTCAATCAAGTGAGTTCTCAATACATGCTTTGTGTATGTCTTGTCTGGAGTGACAATCAATATGATTGATCTTTTAGGTCGAATGTCATCCATATCTCAATCAAACAAAACTGATTGAATTCTGTCGTCAGAAAGATATTGTGGTCACAGGTATTGATAAAAAGCAAACTCATTGGAGACCAGATTTGTAAATGTTATGTTGGAATTGATTTGTTGACAGCTTACAGTCCGTTGGGCTCACCCGATAGGCCGTGGGCTAAACCCGAAGACCCCTCTCTACTAGAAGAACCAAAAATCAAAGAAATCGCTAAGAAGTATAACAAAAGCAGTGCTCAGATACTGATCCGATTCCAAGTGGAGAGAGGGGTTGCTGTCATTCCTAAGAGTGTGACCAAAGACAGAATCGCTTCCAATATCAATGTGTTTGACTTCCAGTTGACTCCCGAAGACTTGGCCACAATCTCGGACTTTGATAGGGGACACGAGGGACGGATCATACACTTGGGTTGGAACGGACCCAATGTAGTCGATCACAAACACTATCCATTTAAGACCCCCTTTTAATGGCATAAAATGTAATACATATTTACCGGTGTTTTTAGGGTGAATAAAATCATGACTATTTTTATAATTAAATTTAATGATTTTATTGTGATTTGAAAATAAAATTTAATACTTTTGTGTTAAAAAAATGTTAGTTTTTGTTTTTAAAAATATATCTTTATATTTGGGTCTAATAATTGATTTAATGAATGTTTGATTCAATTCTATATACAAATTGTATGCTATATATTAGTGATAATCGTTTTGTTAAATTGAATATTTATTGTTTAAATAGAAAAATAATTCATTCAAATTAACACAAACTCATTGAATAAATGTCTCGTTTATCGCCATATCTTAAGGAATCTGTAAAATATAAGTTTCAAAAAAGTCCATTAGTTTTATTATAAGTCATAACAAAATAGTACTTTTATTCATTCAATTCTATGGGAGCTTTCAATTTAGACATAATTATTGATAAATATAATCAGTTTGTGACTTGTGGTTGTGATAACCTAAGTTAACAAGGACATTTTTCGTGAGTACATTTTCAATGGTTGTAATGATTAGATAATATAAATGAGTGGAAGAATGTAATGATAATATTTAACTCACTTTTAATGAACACAATTCCCCACATTATACTCCAAACCCATCCGAACACGAATATAGCTGTGATTGACTGCAATAGCGCTGAACACAAGCATATGAAGAATGCTTTGAACCAATGATTTTCACCATATTCTGTGTTACAACCGAATAGTATTGCAATCGATGCCAATAAAGTGCCTATAAATTAGTGTCATTATATTAAAACATATGTTTTATTCATAATAAATAGATTAGAAAATTATTTGGAAAAAGAAGTTAATTAGAGGTATTAAAGAAGAATAAGAAGATATAAATTACTATTAATTCAATATAAAGATTAATTTTTAAAATTTTAATTTTACCACAAAATTTAATTATCATATTCTGTGAACTATAATAACAATTCTTTGAATTATGTCGAGACTTATTGTCGTGTATTTTTCATATAAATATTAATCGATATATGAAAATGAGTTAAAAAGTCTTTAGTGAATAATTTGTGAGCTTATTATGAATGTCAAAACTATGTCCCACTTTAGCCTATTGTCACTCTAATCAGGTATATTTAGACCACAGTTTCATTGCCAGACGACGTGCCTCTCAAGCAAATTATATTTTTGTCAAAACACTACACTATATAAACCAGTCATACATACCGAATACATACAGAATCGCTCATTAATTTGCGTGCAAATACACTGTAAATGCTATTAAAACAATCATAATTATGAATACAGAGTATTAAAACATGAATTAAATACGATATGAGGCAAACATTATACAGGCTTTTGGTGTTTAATATTCGTTTCGATTAGTTTTTAGCGCCGGTATTATAAACAGTGGATATGCGGTGTTCTGGTATATGTCAAGGCTAGGGTTCATTACTAACTAATCAAGACTATTTGGTAGCCGATCTAGCCATTTCATAAACAATATTCTCAAATTGATATTTAATTATGATACTTCCCGGTTCTGGTCAGTCAACCATTTATTTATATGTATTTATACCTTATTTTTATCAATTTTTCACTAATAGAATATTGATTATAATATTAATGTTTAATTATTTAAATTAAATGTTAAAATTAGTTACAAAAATCAATACTTTTGTTGTGATTCTGTGTGTTTTGAATCAAAGGACTTTTAATTTGAAAACTTTTATTGAGTCTAGAATTTATTGGTCTATAAATAGTGTCGAAAGCTATAAGTGTTTTGTTTAATACAAACAAAAGTTTCAATAAGTTTTGTAACGACAGACCATTTAATAAGTATTTCAATTCATTTGATGTTTTGATTGGTAATTTTATTACAAAGTTTATTATCAAGGATTTTAACTATTATTTCTTAATTCCTTATGAATACCATAGACTGTGCGGAACTTTAATCGATTTCATTTCCAGCCCATTATTAACACTCTTTTCTCTGTTTATAAGTTTTTGTGAATAGCTTTGCATTCAATACTAGAAAATCGATAAACATTTTCAGGTATTGAAACATCAAAAAAGAGAGAAAAATTTCTATTTTTGTTTCCCTATTCGAAGACTTAATTACAATAATTTTGTTATTATCGACAAAACGCGACAATTATTTCACAGAAATAACACATAAACTATTCATTTTATTCAAAACGCAATGTCCTATAAATTTTTCGTACATTTTTAATAAATTAAAAAGTGAAATAAATTACAGTAAATTAAAACGAGAGAGAGAGAGAGAGA